GAGTTTAATATTATGATATATGCCTTGATTGTTGACTTCTACGACAAAAGATGAAATCTGATCGTCAGTATGGCTTTCGCCAGGGTCGCTCAGCTGGTGATCTTCTAGTGCATTTGACACATCGATGGGCAGAGGCTATTGAGAGTAAGGGGGAGGCCCTATCTGTTATATTGCATCTCTATGCATTTTCTACCGCATATATCACGGGGAGTGTTCTGAGGAATTGTTCGGATTCGCACAACCACATTATGGAATCACCTTCCAGCAATGGTATTTCCGAACCGATACGATATTGAAACCTTCAAGAAAAGAGCTTATTCCTTTTTAAAAGGCCGACAACGTACTTACAATTCCCCTGGTGTTGCGGGTGCTCATGGGCACTTACCATCAGGTGAGCCGTTTTTCGTTTGTCCCCTGTGTTATAAAAAAAAAAATATATAAAAATTCATAAAAATCGGTCAAGCCGCTCCGGAGGAGTATGGTACAATATATAAAATTCAAAAATGGTATAATATAGTATAATATATATAATATATAAAATATTAAATGAATGAATGATATATGAATGAAAATTAAGAATGAATGATATTTGAATGATGAATGAAGAATGAATGATGAATGAATGATGAATGAATGATGAATGAATGATGAATGAATGATGAATGAATGAAGAATGAATGATGAATGAATGATGAATGAATGATGAATGTATGATGAATGAATGATGAATGAATGATGAATGATGAATGAATGAATGTGAATGATGAATGATGAATGAATGATGAATGAATGATGAATGAATGATGAATGAATGATGAATGAATGATGAATGAATGATGAATGAATGATGAATGAATGATGAATGAATGATGAATGAATGATGAATGAATGATGAATGAATGATGAATGAATGATGAATGATGAATGATGAATGATGAATGAATGATGAATGATGAATGAATGATGAATGATGAATGATGAATGAATGATGAATGATGAATGAATGATGAATGATGAATGAATGATGAATGATGAATGATGAATGAATGATGAATGAATGATGAATGATGAATGAATGATGAATGATGAATGAATGATGAATGATGAATGAATGATGAATGATGAATGAATGATGAATGATGAATGAATGACGAATGAATGATGAATGAATGATGAATGAATGATGAATGATGAATGAATGATGAATGATGAATGAATGATGAATGATGAATGAATGATGAATGATGAATGAATGATGAATGAATGATGAATGAATGATGAATGAATGATGAATGAATGATGAATGAATGATGAATGAATGATGAATGAATGATGAATGAATGATGAATGAATGATGAATGAATGATGAATGAATGATGAATGAATGATGAATGAATGATGAATGAATGATGAATGAATGATGAATGAATGATGAATGAATGATGAATGAATGATGAATGAATGATGAATGTATGATGAATGAATGATGAATGAATGATGAATGAATGATGAATGAATGATGAATGAATGATGAATGAATGATGAATGAATGATGAATGAATGATGAATGAATGATGAATGAATGATGAATGAATGATGAATGAATGATGAATGAATGATGAATGAATGATGAATGTATGATGAATGAATGATGAACGAATGATGAATGAATGATGAACGAATGATGAATGAATGATGAATGAATGATGAATGAATGATGAATGAAAGATGAATGAATGAAATGAATATGTATGAATGATGAATGAATGATGAATGAAAGATGAATGAATGATTAATGAACGAATGAATGAATGAATAATGAATGATTAATGAAGAATGAATGAATAATGAATGGTGAATGAATGAGAATCAAAAATGACTGAAAATGAAGAATGAATGGGAATGAAGAATGAATGGAAACGAAGAATGAATGATATATGAATGAAAATTAAGAATGAATGATATTTGAATGAGAATGAAGAATGAATGAGAATGAAGAATGAATGGGAATTTAGAATGAATGGGAACGAAGAACGAATGGGAATGAAGAATGAATGGGAATGAAGAATGAATGGGAACGAAGAATGAATGATGAATGAAGAATGAATGATGAATGAATGATGAATGAAGAATGAATATTGATATTGAAGAACAACATTGAGAATGAGGAATTATAATGATAATGAAGAATGAATATTCATTCTTCAATATCAATATTCATTCTTCATTTTCAGTCATTTTTGATTCTCATTCATTCACCATTCATTATTCATTCATTCTTCATTACTCATTCATACATTCATCATTCATTAACCATTCATTCATCATTCATTCATCATTCATTCATCATACATTCATCATTCATTCATCGTTCATTCATTCATCATTCATTCACCATTCATCACTCATGCTTCTTGATATCTATTACATGAACAGACAGAGGTAGATATCTAATCCAACTTTAACACTTCAGGGAATATCCACATATACGACTTCCTTTATGAATATCGTGTAACAGAATATTTCAATATGAACTACTATGAATATCGCAACTAAATGTTTTTTATATTGTTCCAATCAAGTCCAATATTAGGATCGTGTAAGAAGTTATTTTTAATATTTTGAATAATTCTGTTTATTAAGTGTCTAGCATATCGAACCATCCTACATGATGCAATCGAATCCAATATTGTGATCCCGTAGGAAGTCATTTTTATTATTTTGATTTGATGAATATTGATATTGAAGAACAACATTGAGAATGAGGAATTACAATGATAATGAAGAATGAATATTCATTCTTCAATATCAATATTCATTCTTCATTTTCAGTCATTTTTGATTCTCATTCATTCACCATTCATTATTCATTCATCGTTCATTAATTCATCATTCATCATTCATTCATCGTTCATTCATTCATCATCCTTTCTTCAATCAGCATTCATCGTTCATTCATATGATGTATGAACATGAATTAAGAATGAATGATGAATGAATGATGAACGAATGATGAATGAAGCTTGAATGATGAATGAAAAATGAATGAAAAATGAATGATGAATGAATGATGAATGAATGATGAATGAATGATGAATGAATGATGAATGAGAGTAAGGGGGAGGCCCTATCTGTTATATTGCATCTCTATGCATTTTCTACCGCATATATCACGGGGAGTGTTCTGAGGAATTGTTCGGATTCGCACAACCACATTATGGAATCACCTTCCAGCAATGGTATTTCCGAACCGATACGATATTGAAACCTTCAAGAAAAGAGCTTATTCCTTTTTAAAAGGCCGACAACGTACTTGCAATTCCCCTGGTGTTGCGGGTGCTCATGGGCGGCGGTAATCACTTACCATCAGGTGAGCCGCATGCTCGTTTGTCCCCTGTGTTATAAAAAAAATATATAAAAATTCATAAAAATGGTATAATATAGTATAATATATATAATATATAAAATATTAAAAGAAGAATGAATGATATATGAATGAAAATTAAGAATGAATGATATTTGAATGAGAATGAAGAATGAATGGGAACGAAGAACGGATGGGAATGAAGAATGAATGGGAACGTGGATCTAAATTGTTAAGACGTACTCCATCTAAGGTTTTAACTCTGGAGAGTCCAACGTAAACCTGCCCTTTATTAAATATAGAGGAGCCTATGTTGAGAAGAGGACTGTCAAAACTAAGACCTTGTGATTTGTGGATAGCATATGTTAAGCAAATACGGAATTGTTCTCTGTCAACATATACATTATTTAGTTACCAATGAGTTCTCATTCTCGAGTTAACTATACATTCCTACTTATAACTATACTAAAATTATTATTAATTTTTGGTTTAAACTATTGTCTATACCATACGTAATTACTAAAATAATGTAATAATAATATAACCACAAATATATAAGTATAATTTAAGAAAACTATGATTTTCGTAGCATAAATCGCAACCTTATAGGTTAGATATCGAGAAACAAAACATTGAGACATATGAGGGCGGTTGCCATTCGCTCCGACAGGTTCTCGTCAACGTTTTATCGCACCGCTCCCACACGGCGCCGCCCGCGCCGCGGCGCCCTATAACGAAATGCCTATTATTTAATAATTATTTATAAAAACAACGATCTTACACTATCGATGTGCGCTAAATATTGAAACAATAATTAATACCAAATCTCAGTTAATAACATAATAAATACGAAATTCGACTATACTCCTAGTTATAAGTACGAGTATATTTTAGACAGAATCTTAATTATATTAACTAGTGTTTATCGCTCAATGCAATATTTGAAGTTTGCTAGTTATCGACACTGATGTAAAGGGGTCAACGTAAATTGGTAATGATCGACGTTTTCATATAATATTACTTTCCGTCCAGTACAAGATGAGCTATTTTGCCAGGGATCAATGTCAATTGGTGGTTATCGACGTTTTCATAGAATTTTAGTAATCGTCCAGTATAAGTTGAAATAAAATCAATTAAAGTGAAAAATTATAGTAAAATGATAACAATTTACCAGTTTCAGATTTTTTCCTTTATATTCACCTAATTACCTATCTGCATGCCAAATTTGAACTTCCTAGGTCATCTGGAAGTGGGTTATAATTTTGATCTATAGTTGATCAGTGATAAAAATGACGATTTTTGGACATTAATATCTAAATAACCGTTTGAGATATGTTTATGAAATTTGGAATACATATTTATTCGGTTCGTGTAAATATACACACGGTGCTGCTCGCCAGTTTACTTGAAACTCGGCTTGACACGCTACCGCGTGTCTAGATAACTATCCATATGAAGCCATGAACAATGGTTATTCAATAATTGTTATAATAACAGTTATAAGATGATTTCACCCACTACTAATAGTAAAGAATAGTTATATTTTTTCTCAGTCGCATCTAGGCTATCAACAGCAATCAGTTAATTTATTGAAAAAATGCTGTGTATAATATGTTTTTGGTTATTGTTTATAAAAATGATTAATTCCAGCATTTCCAGTACTACTGATTCTAATACAATTATAACTAATGTAGATTTCACTTCGGAAATCACAGAATTAGACTTTAGTGAAACGTATAGTGAAACTACAGAAAGCACAGATGAAGATGAAGCTACCACTCTAAATACTGCATTTGATGAACTTACAATATCAATTGATAGAGAAAATAATGAAACTAATTCAAATTTGACAGAAATATGTCCACATTTCAAGAACGGAGCAGTTTTGGATCTGGATGCTATGGCAGATGTGTGGCAAGTTATATACTATCAGTTACCTGAACATATACCCTGTTTCAGAATTCAATTGCAAAAAATATCACAAAAGGTAAAATTAAACCATACTACAAAGAACAAATAAAGACTTAAGAATTACCTGAGCTTATAACTAGAATCATAAATCTCAAAGTGTTAAATTAGATAGTATAGATTTCCATTTTTAATGGTGTACCACACACTTAGCATTTTACTGAATTAATTTATTGCTACTCAGTTAGCTTCTTGAAATGTGTTTCATATCACCTTACTGATGTTTAAATTGCTTTAAATTGTATTGAAAAATTAAATTGTTATTAAATCATATATAATTAGAATAACTCCGATTTCTCATAATAATCGTAATCTTACAGAACAAAGAAGAAAATTATAAATTTTACGGAACTTTCAACGAAACTGTGGATTGGTCTGACTGTAATATTGAAATTAAAAGTAGTGAGATGACAAAATCAAGAAAACATTTCTTGCAAGGATCCAAATATGATATGGAAATAATGGATAATGTCATTATTGAGGAAGAATACAAAGGTACTTTAGCAAAACATCTCAAATCCCACCTTGTGTACAATATTGATAAAATACTGCGTCCTAGAGTTAGGACGAGGAAGAAACACAGTCCATCCAGGACTGTGTGAAAGATGATTAGGTAAAAAAGGAGGTAAATAACGAAATAAATGCAATAGAATGAATAGAAAAGAATAACATATTACGCCGCCCCCAAATAAATGGGATAAGGAAGAAGCAGAAGATGACTGCGTCCTAGAGTTAATTAAAAAAATGTGAAAATAATCTTCCAAATTTAATTCTACTGCCCGTAGCTTGCTTAGGAATTACTTTAATTTTACTTTGAAGGACGAAATATAGTAGTCATATTATAGTACCGAAATGTATAACAGCTATGATAACTTTTCAGGATTTTCTATTCTAATTATATAAAAAATATATAATGTACAGAAATAGAAACGATGTAAGAACTATATGCTTCAATAAGTAGCTATATCTAATAACTATATCTATATCTATATATATATATAATCTATATCTATATCTAACCTTAACAGATATAAAAATAAAATTACACTTTTTATAAATCACCTCCATCTACCTTGATTAATTTATTAAACTCCTTAATTGATCAGTCCAAACTGATTCAATTTGAAACTTTGTTTTTTTTAACTAAGGTAGGCTAACACTCGAAGTAAAACTAATTAAATTAACAAAAAGAATATTCAATTGTATTTAAATTGGACCAATTCTTTATACATTTTTGTCGTACTAGAAATATAATTGTATTTGTATAAAATAAGAAACAGAATATTCTCTATAATACTAAATAGTACTAATAATGCTAAAGAAACTTCTAAGAGGACAGTTTACCACGGGTTTCCTGAGTTTTCTACAAGAGAGATTTTGTACAGAATTGTGACATGAATACATTGAATATAGTAATAAATTAATCATCAAGAATAGCAACGATATCAAAGATACATAATAATAAGTCCATAACTCGTTTTTGGATTACTAACGTAACAGTTGTTTCGTTTCATCAGATGGGACATTAGTTTTTTTGCGATTTCAAATGAAAATAAGCATAACGTTATTTCTAATTCTAATATCCGCTAAACTTCGAAAAAATGGACCAATCATGGGTTTGTTCTAGAATCGGTAATATTTTATATATTAGGACATGCTTTGTATTCACTAACATTCTTTATTATGATTTTAGATAACTTCATATACGCCTCACGCCATGAAGAAAGTGCAAACCAGTGGCAGGTAATAAAAAATCTTCTCCTGATGAGGGATTGCGATAGTGGTGACATTGTGGTATTTGCTAGAGTTCCTATGCAAACTCGGATAGAGGATTTGGAGAGTGCCCTAAAATTATTTGGTGAAGATACAATCAATTATACGACAACTTGTGATAATGAAACAGATGTTCTGAATATTGCTAAAACTCCAATCGATGATGATATATAATATGGATGATATATAATAGAAATAGTTTTTATTAAAATGAACTTACTAATAGTACTTTTGAATAGCATTTCTTTACTCTACCGTCACATTCGTGTATGCGTAACAAAGAAACTTGAGTTTTATGATTTATTATGATTCGGTATTTGATTGATCAAATAACGACAAAAAGTAACATTATACAATTTAAGTTGTCAAGGACTACTACTATCAAGAATACGAAGTTCTTGAATTCATATCTGGTTAACACGAGAAACTTTTCTTGTCCTATTATATTTGTGACTGACTTTCCTAATCGAGAAACGATGGTAGGCTCGACTACCGCTAAGTTGGATTAAAAAAAAAGAAATATGGATATTCAAATATGAGGGGATGACAGTCGTCACGGTAAATTATAATATTATTACAACGTAGTACATATCGCAAAAAAAAATATTAGATAGATACTAATACCAATAGTTACGCCAGTTATAGACAATTTGCGAGGTAATAGATTGAGCTGGTATGAGCATGTTATGCGGAGGAACGAGGATCATGTCTTAAGGAAAGTGTACAATATGAACGTGGATGGATGGAAAGGGAGAGGACGCCCTAAAAAAAGATGGATGGATTGTGTGAAAGATGATATGAATAAAAGAAGAGTATGTTCAGATATGACGACCGATAGAGATCAGTGGAAGAGAATGATATACTGCGCCGACCCCAAATAATGGGATAAAGGCAAGGCAATGATGATGATGATGAGATAGAACAAATAGTATTTTTTTTGGGTGTTTTCTATGTATAGTATGTATGTATTTACAAAAAAAAAACTATGTATCATCAGTTATCTAGTAGCTATAACACAAGCTTTAAGTAGCTTAACTTGGTTCTAGATGGCGCTGTGTGAATTGTATGTAAGTCCGTTTGGTCCTACAAGGAGTTTTGCACACACCTGTAATAAGGCCATGTGATTTAAAAAAAAAAAAAGTATGAACGTGGATGGATGGAAAGGGAGAGGACGCCCTAAAAAAAGATGGATGGATTGTGTGAAAGATGATATGAATAAAAGGAGAGAATGCTCAGATATCACGGCCGATAGAGATCAGTAGAAGAGAATGATATACTGCGCCGACCACAAATAATGGGATACAGGCAAGGCGATGATGATGATGAGATAGAACTAATAGTATTTTTTTTTATTTAATTTGAACACCAAACCTAATATCGACAAATATTGACGGCCCACCTGGTAAACGCTGATCGTTGCTTACATATGAGAACTACAGACATTACGTAATCCCGCAATACCCTCAAGCGTTGCCATTCCAGAGGACGAAGATGTTATGCCTCTGATGCAGAGTAGAATAGAGAAGGTAATCCTTCACTACCTAATCTCCATCCTACAACCGAAAACAGAGCTTACAAAGCGAGCTGCATGGCGGCCGAAATAAACGACTGAAGAGCCCTTTAGAAGACTTTTTACAGTATGGCTCTGATAAATTATGTGGTAAGTTTTACATTACTAATCGTTCATAATAACTTTTTTCTTGGATGATAATGGAATGGTGCACCCGCCTGCGCTAACGGGTTACGCTGGCGGGGCACCAGTGGAGAATGATAAGATAAACATGAGGTCAGGTCAGTTAACCCATCGTAATAAATTCACCAAGAATTTATCACCTGACATGGTACATTGCTAGCAATAAGATCATCAGTCCATATTACTAACAATCCCCTTTCCCTCATAATAACATTAAACCTTATTATAAAAGCAGTCTACGGTTTTATTTTATGAAAGAGCATTCTGCAATACACGAGTTGAATTAACATTGGTCGGGACTGTATACTCGAGGTACAGCAATAAACACGGATTTGAGAGTCGCAAGTGAAACAGTCCATTCATCTACCCTGCAACTGGATGTAACGCGTAATAATTTCAGTTCTATACACTGCATTTGATACCACAAACATGTGAAAACTACATTAATATGTATAATCAAGCATATACACTGATGGTATTTTCACTATGGTACAGCTAGCTGACCATTTTATTTATTCAAAATAGCATATCTAACGTCAGATAAATATTCGAGTCAGAAGAAATATTTCCTGATATATTTTCTCATTGATCTACCACGTTAAACTTTGTTGACAATTGATTTTCTTTGTTGACAATTGATTCTTCAAAGTAAATGGTTAAATATAATTTAGTAACAAATTGAACTGGAAGGAAGTAACAGTTTTTTACATATTTGTGAGTGTGCTTCTTCAATCCATGGTCGGAACCACCAGAAGGTAATATTTAACGGAAGATAGCTAAGAAGAAATGATTGAAGAAATTTGAGCTTGGCGTGTCTTGGCAGCTGAAACATGTAGATGCAATAGAGGTACCTATTTACGTCCTTATACAAAGTGTCCAAGGTACCAAGGTACCAAGGTAGGTAGAATAACGGAATGATTTTCCAAAGCAACACGATAAGGAACAAATTTTTAAAACGAGCACAGAATGCGCATACTGAATAAAGATGAACATTCGTAAGCCAAAACGAAACGCTTGGCTAGAGGTCAAAGCTGTAAGGAAATTTTCCACAGCCAAAATATAAATGTTGCAGACTCTTCATTAATAATTCATACCGATCAATGATTATGACTTTTAGATATTTTTCGTTGTGTTCAAGCGAATATATTTTTCTAAATGGACGACAATATCCAAATCCGATTTGCCAAATATAAAAATAAGGTTGTTCCTATCGTATACTACCGTTAGTCAACAACTGTTCCTTTTTTACATTAATATTGAATTATCTCTTCATACCTACCTTCGAGGTGATTTAAAGTAGCAGAAAGGATTACCAAGGAAAGTAGTTACATTGTTTAAATACGCGATAAAATACGAGTTTAGAACCTATACCTGATGGTATGATGTGAAACTGATAGATAAAACTTATCATCTGCTTCTACAAATATTTCACGTCAATTCACTCCATATCTCCATATCTCACACAATCCTTTCCGTCTATTTTTCGGCCTTCCACTGCTTTTATCACCATCCACGTTCTTCTTCTTTCTTACGCATTACAAGCACATACCATGACAAATGATTACTTTTTAACTTCTACGACACAGGCTTCCACTTCCTCTGCTTTCCACTACCCTTATAACCATCTAATTCAAATATAAAACTATACAATATAAAGTCCGTAACGAGAATAATCCACTTCAATACCCACCATAGATTACTGGCTGACTCGTAGTCGTTCAGTGAATCCGCTCCAAACATATCGATGTTGATATTTTACTCATTTGGTAGTATCCAGTCTGGTAGTCAGGGTAGTTTTTCAAGGGATACTTTGAATGTAATATAAAATGCTTTCAACCAAAAACTGCTAGGTGCATTTGAATATATTTTAGTTTATACACAGATCATCTTAATAATATTATAAACTTGTTAAGTTTGGTACTCTTTCACGCAAAAACTGCTGAACGGATTTCGAAACTTTATAGCAACATAGCTAATTTTAGAATAATACATAGGTAAAAAGGTATTATGCAAAGTGGGCCAATATATAAATAATATAAGACAAATGTCAAGTAAGTTTGATGCAGACGAAGTTACGCGAGTCAGCTAGTATTTAATAATTATGTACTGGTATTTAATAAATACACTATATTAAATGTGTTTAGCAACAAGTGTAGTACTAAAGGAACAGAAGTTTTAAAAATTATATAGGTGTACTGGAATGTATAAAATATTTTTGTAATTATTTTTATTCATAAACATTTCAACTACGAAGAAATATTTCCAAGTAGTAAGTATTTAACTATGAAACACCCTTGAAACGATCTTTCGTCGCCTCGTGCCGTTTTATATTAAATCTAAATATATAATCGGAGCTAATTAATTAAAATTTAAGTTATAACTTAAACTTGGTATACCATTACAAAATTAATTTAACTCTGAAACCAGTTCGAACGAGATAGATATTTAACTTTCCTATGTAACATCAAACAACTCTTTGACTAAGTGACATAGAGGTGTTCACGAATTTATTAAAATACTGGCGACGCCCGCGGTTTCAAAATTTTTAAAAAACTTAAATTTATAGCCTATTACTGTAAAGTTTAATTAAAATCCATTTAGTAGTTTTTACGTAAAGAGTAACAGACATCATCCACATTCACAAACTTTCGCGTTTATAATATTGGTAATATAATAATTATGATTAAAAATATTTATAACTCGGGACTCGCCCTGGCCTCGAACGGATCTAAATATCAAAAATTCAAACTTATTCAAACATAATTATTGGAAAAGGTTAAAAGCAAACAATAATTGACAAAGGTACAAAGATTTTTTCATTAAAAAATCTTAGCAATTTTTAGAACTAGATGTATAAAAGAAAATGTCACGAAAACCGTTAAAACTTTTACGTAAAAAAATATTAAACATATGAAAACTCCACTCCCATCTACTGAAGAAGTTTTTTGATTTTTCTCTAAAACATCCCTAACCCCTACAAGGGAGTAATGGAATTTAGTAGGTAATAAAAAAAGAACAGAAAAACCTAAAAATAGAAGAGTTGATCATATTCTCTTCTTTAGTACACGCATGAGAAGATGGGGCACGTCTGATGGTAAGCGGTAACCGCCGCTGTAATAGTGCTGTTCATGTATATAGAATAATATAGATACATGAACATCACGTTATCATATGACACCCGTGAAACCACTTATGCGTCGCCATTCCAGAGCATTAAGATAGCATGCCTCACACTGTAATATTACTACCCACCCTAAAGTCAAAACGGCTTATAAAGTAACCTGCTAAGCGGCTAAAATAATTGAAACTGGAGTTATCCATGCAGATGACATGAAAAATCATAAAATAGATATGATATACAAAAATCAAAATGTATAACTGATAAAAAACAATATATATATTATGTAGATAGATCCCTTTACAATGAGCCGCTAGTGGTACATAAAGTATGTAGATACTTGTTCCCAAATCCCTAACTTTG